TGCCAGCAGCCCAACAGATGGGGTACTGGGGGGTAGGGGGTACAAAAATTTCTATAAATACACTTATTTTCTAACATTTTCCTACACCTCTTCTCCAACTCTTCTCCATCTGCATCTTCTCTTATTCTCCTACTTATACATAAACTAGGATCCGGTTCGGGCCACCCGTCCCGGGAACCGGCCCGGTACTGTTTGGGCCCGGCCCGGGAACTGAGAACCGGTACCAGGTCTAGGCCCGATTTGAAGGGAAAACCGGGGGCGGGTACGGGCTTTAAAAATTGAGAATCGGCCGGCCGATTCCGAGCCCGATTCGGGACTCTTCAATTTTTTTTTTTGTTTTTTTTTGTTTGGGGCTTTGGGCTGGGTTTAAATGGGCTGGAATGGGTTTTCAGATGGGTTTGTGGGATGGGGGTGGTGGGTGGAGGTAGGGGATAAAATAATCATGAAAACCCAAAAAAAAAAAAAAAAAAACTGAACCCAACCTGGGCCCGGACCGGCACCGGTCAACTATCGGTCCGGTCCTATGCCTCACTGATTTTTTTTTTGCTCGGCCGGGCTAACCGGACTGGTTGAGTCCAAGCCTACTTATACATCTACCATTTCAAATATGGAAAGTTGATCTTCCTTACAAGACATTAAGTCCGGTGACAAATGCAAAGACGAGGAGAAAACAACAACCAACGGTGGCAGTGGCGGAAATTCCGATTGATTATTATATATTATATTATTATTTATTAGAAAATGTATTTCATATTGTAATTTTTTTCTCAATTCTCAAATGTAGTTCCTATTTCAAATAAATGCACTTGAAGTTTGTTTTTAATATCCAGCATTTGTAGACATAAGTAGGAAAAAACGGAAAAAAAAATTGCAACCGGCCCGGGCAGGTGGCCCGACCCACAACCGGCTAACCACCGGGCCGGTCACGGGTCCACACTCCACAGCCAAAAAAAATTAGGCCTGGCCGGACCCCGACCCGAGTCCATGACTACAATGGACCCTTTGCATTTGGATGACACATCACCTCCAATGCACTCAAAGCATGGGAGATGCTCTAAGCCTCTAAGGGTATGTTTGGGAGTTCTGACCTCTAGGAAAAGGGGCAGGAAAAGAGGGGGCACCTAGATGTAAGAGGGAGAGATGTCTCAATGGTGAGGGAGAGAAGAAAAAGAAACTCTTATATTTATTTGCAAATTACAAATTTGAAAAGAGAGGGGCTACAAATAATTATATTTAAAATCACTTAAAATATACTATCCTCCGTTCTTCAATTCTTGCAACAGTTTGACTTTCATGGTTGCCAATACACAACTTTGACTGTAATTATATTTAATTATGTATTAATAAACGTTATAAAAAGTTGATATTTTGGAAATTCACATTGATAAGAGTTCAATAACATTTTATACATAATAATTTTATTATGTATATTAGTAGAGAATCATGGTCAAAGTAAAATCTGTGAATAGTGTAAAAATCAAAATGTTGCAAGAATTATAGAACGAAGAAGTATATCAATTCCAGATTATTGAACTTTCACTCATTTTAAATTGAACCAAGATTATCATTTATTTTGTTATCCTTCAAGAACTTCCTAATTGGAGGAACTTAAATATTAAACATTTGAGGGTTACATAAGTTTTTTAAAACTATCTTCTCCAACTTTTTAAACTTCCAATTTCCAAATATGAAAGGGATGGTTATAAACCCTCATCAACCTCCCTTCTCCTCCAAAACTTAACTCTCAAATATACCCTAATTCCCCCTAAACAATTCACACGACATTATATCCATTGGCATATTGCATCTGCTGAATCCTACCAACTTGATAGGGCGAGAAGTCAAAACCTTACCAACAAGGCCGTCTACTGGGCTGTGCAAGCAGTGCTTCTGCACTGGGCCTACAAATAATTAAGGCCCACATTTTAAAAAAAACAGTAATATATATATGAATATTTAATAGAAATTCAAGAGCCCAACTAAAAAAATATGTAGTAGTAGTAATAAATAACTCAACACTTTTTAGTTTTTACGTATGTGGATCAAGCAACTAAGCATTGTGATTTTCTCATTTCTTTGATTCTTTGTACTTGATTTGCCAACAGGGACGATTCTTTGATTCTTTGATTTGATTCTTTGATTTTAGTTTTTTGCCTAAATGCCTACTTGCCTTGTTGTTATTTGTCTATTTATTGTAGTAATTTATTACTTATTAAGTAATTGAATTGAGAATAAGTGTGTTTAACAATAATTCAAGTAAGATTTAAGAAATTGGGATAAGTATGTTATAAGTAAATACTAAGTAGTAAGTACTTTAGGTTTATAAATATTAATTATTTTATGATTTCACCGAAAATGTAAATTGAATTTTAACAAAAATTTCTTAAACACGTACAAGATTAGGAGAAAATTTCGATAATTGGTACATAGTACTTCGTATTTGATATAATTATGTTCCCACAAAATATCTATCCGGTCATGGAAAAAAGGCCCAATTTTTTTTGTTGCACGGGGTCCCCGTGATTTGTGTGTAATTTCCGTTTGTATTTGTACGTTTTTAATTAGTTTTGTGATTCACTAGCTTGGAAATTACACACTTTTGGTGTAATGTTTTGTTTTATTCAAATTGATGTAAATTGTTTAGATTAGTATTATTCTGAGCATAGGACAGATTAAAAGCACTCAAAGGATCAAGAAATGAATCCCAAAGACCAAAGGATGTGCAAAGGGACAAGATCAAAAATGGATTCAAAAAATAGTTCCTATACCCGGTCGAGTATATGCAATACCCGATCGGGTAATGATCCGATTTCAATGTCCAAATCAAATCCCAGAAAACAAAGGATCGTGGAGACAATATATTTGAAAAATCCGATCACATACCCGATCGAGTATTCCGACATACCCAGTCGGGTATGAGGTGACGATTTCCCACTTCTCGGAACCAGCTGAGTACCCGATCGGGTACCCCAAACACCCGGTCGGGTACATGATCCTGCCACCTTCATTTCCCTATAAATACTCCCCTTTTTCTTCACATAAAGGCATCCCTTCTTCCATATACTTAAGATCAGTTTAGAATAGTTATTTCTTATATTTTTATAGCATGTTTAGTCTCCAAATGAGGAGCTAAACTTCCATTTCTTGGTTTTGCTCTTGAAGCTTGTTGATTATTAAAGTTGTGAGTTATTTTCTTACTTTCTCCTCTTGATTATTTATTCTTCCCTTAACCTCATTCTATATTAATGTTGGAGGATTGCTAAGTGATATGGATGGACCCGGGCCGGTTCGGGCCCGGTTCGGGCCTAGGCCCAGCCAGGCCTCGGGTCTGTTTTGTTGGGCCCGAGCCCGAACCGGTGGCCACCGGTTCCGGGTCCGGTTCCGGGCCGGGCCGGGCCGGTCGGGCCACCCGGTTTAATTTTTTTTTTTTCCTTTCTTCCCCCACCCCCCACCCCCCCCAAACCCCCCCAAACCGGCCTAAACAGATAGCCCAAGCCCAACAGCCCAAAACAAATGAAAAAAATTAAAAAAAAAAAATAGATTTGGCCCGGACCCGGGCCCGAACCGGCCGGGCCGGGCCGTCAAAACCATGAACCGAGCCCGGAACCGCCCCACCCCCCGGGCCTCCGGCCCAAACCGGACCCGGACCCGGACCCGGATAACCGGGCCGGGCCGGGCCCGCACAGTAGCGGGTCGGGCCGGTCCCGGGCCGGGCGGCCCGAACCGAGGCCATGCCTACTAAGTGACGATTAGTTAACGTTCCAACATTTATTATTACTAGAAACAATCAACAAACCGATGGTTAATCGTTGATGATTTCACAAGTAACTTTGATTTATTAATGCACGGTCGTGGTTAATAAACTTAAGAGGGATTAATTTTGTTGGTTAAACCGAAACCGTTGTGTTAGGTTATCAATCTCAATTGATTTCATCAAAGAGTTAAAGAGGTTAAATGCTACTATTATATCGGTATACGGCGTTGTTCTATATTGGATTAATAGTAAGGATTATTAATGAACGGTCGTTGTTAATAACTACCCTCGATGAATTGGAGATACTCCGCGATTGAGTATTCGAGAGGGGATAAGTTATAGATATAACAATGATCGACTAAAATATATCAACAAGTGGAAAGTAGCAAGACCAAGTCTCTTCTATTCTTGAATTTAATCTCATTAAGTCGTTTATCTTTGTGTTAAATTAAAGCAAATCATTCAACCCAAAACCCTCTTTTATTTACTCCTTTCATTAAAAAGATAAATGATTCCTTTCCGTGTGGATACGAACTCTACTTCACCTATACTACGTATAAGTGTTAATATCGATTTATTTTGAGTGCACACACGACAAAGTGCACGTCACCTCGTTTCTCAGGGACGGCCCTGCTTACCAACAACAACAAAAGTCTGGACCACTGTCCTTAGATCGGCAACAATATTCTAAAAACTAATCCGGCCTCCATCTCACCGCCAATAACACATTAAGCATCATGAACATCACAAAAGCGACTTCTAACTTTGCATTACAAAAAAAACGTAAAAACGAAAGACAGGTACAGAAGTACGGTAGGAACGAATGTTGAAAAGAAATCAAAACCATAGTAATCAAAATAAACTTTCTGCACGACAAATATCTTATGTACTGTTCAAACTAAACAAGACAGCAATATAAGGTCGAACTAATCATGCGAGTACTGCCATAGAGTTTTGAGTACTCTCCCTTTTAATGCACAAAGGGTGATTAGTTATTGTAGAGAACTATTACAAATTCTATTAATTTATAGAGAACATGGCAATGACATAATAGGGAATTGTCTGCATTATGCAAATTTGGCAATCATAACATAACCAATGTGTGAAATGACAATGACTATGCAAAAAGACTTTGTTTGGAAAAGTGCCTTCCTTAGAAGAAGAATATTGTTTTTGCCTTTCTTGAACCGGACCAGAACTGACTCAACAACAATAATGGTTCCTTCCAATAAATAAGTGTATCCGAGCAGTCCAGAAAGGGAACCATACTGAAACAGGACTAGGTATCAAATGTAGAATAGAGTTATTTTAAACCAGCAAAACCCAGGCAAAATACTTCTTGAAATGAGTATTAATATTGGTAACATTACAAGACCTTAAAGAAAACACAACAAAAAAGTGCACAAAGAAGAAAACATAAAACATGCACCAATGATAATGAAAAGATATTAGGAGTTAACAGAACTGAGTTCAGATATATATACACACAGATTATCTCCAGGCATAAGGTTGGCTCGCTTAGACTCCTAGACTCGCTTCTGAGGTCATTCACCCACGTTGCTGCAAGGCGCCAAGGCTGTAAAGATAACAGCACAATAACTCATCGCTGGATGTAAACTAAGAACCATATGAATTATGAACACCTATATGGATTATGGAACCTTAAATCACAAAATACAAGCACTTTCTAAGTTCTCATTAACCACTCCAATGAGATTGAAAACCAAGAAACTAAGAAGAGATAATCTGGACTGAACATGTACACATTGACAACAATAAGTGATGCAAAGAAGTTGGGCATACTGTCCTAGTCTCAACCATAAAGGATTTTGCCAAGGATGTTTTCATTCATCAAGAAGTTGGGCATGCTGAACACTAGCATTGGTGTGTGCTTGTATCTATGTAGATGTAGGCAAAAGGCTCAACACAGGGGTACTTACATTTTTGCAGTACTTCGACGGCATCTTTCACTGCATAGATCATCATTTTCTTCACCTGTTCCAGAAATAAAATTCATAAATTAAATTCCGTGCACCTAAATAACAAACTTTATATTACACCATTTGTCCCAACAGAGTGAAAGATGAGTCTTCTTTCAAACACATAAATAGATATGTGAAATCATAACACCAAAACCATCACAGTTCAAGTAGATTCAGGCAGCACCCATAATTTTGTGCATCAAAGGCTGGTTCCGGACAATAGCCAATGACTTCACAAGCAATCCCATCTCCATGTTCTTGTGGCTAATGGAGATCGGTTACCTATTTTGGGCACATGCCCTCGACTTGCCCACTGCATTAAGGCTGCACCTTTACTGCCACTTTTATGTGTTTCCTTTGGCCGGGTTTGGCATGATATTGGGAGTTCATCAGCTTCGCAGCATTGGCGCAATTGAATGGGATTTTCCCCATCTTTTAATGCATTTTTGCAGGGAGGGCACTCTAGTGGAATGACATGGTCATGCAATCCAATCACTTCACAAGCGATCCCATCTCCATGTTCTCGTGGCTAATGGAGATCGGTCACCTATTTTGAGCACATGCCGATGCCCTCGACTTGCCTACTGCATTAAGGCTGCACCTTTTTTGCCGACTTTTATGTGGTTCCTTTGGCCGGATTTGACATGATATTGGGAGTTCATCAGCTTCGCAACATTGGCGCAATTGAATGGGATTTTTCCCATCTTTTGATGTGGTTTTGCAGGGAGGGCACTCTAGTGGAATGACATGGTCATGGGAGCAAACCTACTCTTCTGTTGTAGACTGCAATGACATTGATCGTATAGTTATAAAAATTGTAGTCGTCGATGGTAGTACTCCCTCTGTCCCGCTAAGATTATCTCATTATTCCTTTTCGGTCTGTCCCACTAAGATTGTCTCATACCAAATTTGGTAAAATTTGTGTGGCTCTACATCAACCAATATCAACTCAATATCAACCACATAAACTCACTATTTTAATAGCCGCACCACTTCTTTATGTCCCATGTTAGTGGGACGGAGGTAGTAATATTTTAGAAAAACACTCATTTTATACTATTTTGTTATATAACACTAATCAATATTGAATAAGTATCTTTGACTCAAAGATGGTATAGACGGCCCGGGTTATGAAGGAAATCTCTTGGCCCAAATTAACTCAAACGCCCCAAGTACCATCATATGATATTCAAATTTAGGACTTGATCATTCCACATATTCTTGCTTAATACTTTTACAAGATATCAAATTTCCACCCAAGTGAAAGAATAACCTATTGTGAATGTTTGAGCTCTATGGATGCCCATTCCACATATTTCACTAACTTTGTGTTTGTGATTCTTAAATACCAACCTTGTTGCTGGCACTTGTTTGATGAAACACATCATTTCATCACATCATCATTTTCATTTACCCCAGTGCCACAAAGGCTCCCTCCTACGGTGGGGTAAGGAGTCAGATGTACGCACTCTTACCCATGTACTAAAAAACAGAGAGACTGTTTTCGGATGACCCATAGTGAAAATCGCGTCCAAAATTGCATGCATGGACTGACTGTTGCTTCATAACAAAGAAGCACAGACAGTTTAGTGAGCCATTTAACTTTATTCTATCATATTCTCGAGCCAAAAAATAATGAATCTTTGGCTCCATTGCAAATGATGGAATGTGAAACACATCATGCTTTTAATTCGATTGGTTGCAATCTCAGACAAAATCATATCAGATCGGACTTTGACGGTTGAAAAATACAAATAGAACAAACATCTATGGGACCAGACCATTCAAATCAGACTAGACTTAAACAGAAAAGACCAGATCAGAACAGAAAATTATTGTGCAATTAAAAACTCCGAGTGATGGCATTTTAATGACGTTCACATGGAGATTGTAAATATACCGGAACCACTTACAACTGATAAGATGTCATGACGGGTAATACTGAGGTTGTGGGGCTTAGTAATATACCCATTAGACTGTTGTATCTCTAATCAGATTAGATTGAGCCTCCACTGACCAAGTAGAAGCTCTTCGTTAAGACCCATCAAAGCATTAGTTGGCTTTTAGTTTGGCATACTAGCTTCTTCAAGAATATCCGAACCAGGCTTGGTTCGGTGTGGCATACATGAAACTTCCGATCCATATTGAATTTTTCATAAACAAAAATGTGTATCAAGTTATTGTACTGAATTTTGGTATACCGAAAGTCAACATACTGAAAGTTGAAACATTGAAAATTGAAATATTGAAATTCAAGCACAAGAGGCCACTCATGACCTATCAATCACACGTCAAGATCATAACGGGTACCCGCCAAGGCTCCCATTCAAGCATGATATCAGTATATATCAAATTTAATATAAATTTGGTGTAGAAGTTGAAGTGCAGTAACTACATATAACAAAGGTTTGGTATACCATAATAATTCAGTGTTTGAGTTTATACCGATAAATCAGATACAGCACTTCAGCAATATTTTTGAAGTTACATGTCTATAATAGTACAAAAATGGGACACCGAGTGTGGTAAACTAAAATTTTGATATTTCTCCCACCCATAATCTAAGACATACTTTTGCTTGAAAACATATACTTAAGAACATATTTTGTACATGCTTGAAATTCAACATCTCAATTATAGAGATTGATATTTGGAGCAATTATTTAAGGCTTAATAAAGCTCAATGCATAGAGTTGATCCCTTTACAATCGTAACATGCATCATGACATCAAATTGGCGTAACTCAAGGTGAGTACGGCTTGCACACTTGTCTTGAGTGTGAAAGGATATTATAATATAAAATTAGCTTCGTCTCACCGAACTTCATCACAAAACTGTCATTTTCCATTCAGAGAAACAAATTTGTGGCTAATATTATTTTTCTCATAACTCTTAACAAATTTCAATCAGAATTTTTACTTTTCGTGTTCCACATACCAGTCAAAGTTAGTGAACTTCCACGGGACAGAGGTAGTATTTTTTTAGTGCCACTACAAAAAAGATAGCATTATGCTTGTATTGAATGTGACGTACTTATGATAGGAAGGCTCAGGACAATCACCTCTACCACAACCGCTTCATCCTCCACGATTTGCCAAATAAAATACAAAACTTGGAGTCTCCAACACTCTCTCAGTTACCACTATAGGAACTCTTCAGAGATTGATGAAACAAGTAGAAAACCATCAATGAGCCCCTCAAGGAACATTAGGATTAGTTAGAAAACACTTTTGTGGGAAAACTATGGTCCTGCAAAACATGGAGGACGAAGATGATGTAGATATTCTTATTAGATGTCTTCCACTACAGACAGCTTTGCTCAAAAATGCACCAGGGGGCGTAGCTGGGCGTAGCTCACCTGGTAGGAAAAGGGTGCCACAAGGGATAGGTCTCGAGTTCAACTCCAAGCAAATAATTGCGATAGAACCACACTCTCTTTCCATCGGTGTGTGATCAAAGATCAATTTACATCCTCCTAAATAATTGACCCGTCGGTTGTAGGAGGCCCTTAGGGATGGGGTGTCATCGTTATTTTGCTTTGCTCAAGTATGCAAGAAGACATGACAAGATCACGATCTGCCATCAGAGTGGCCAAGGACATAGGGTAGAGAAATTGTAGGTCATAATATAGAGACTTAAGCTCTTTGTCACTGTATTATAACACTAAGATAACCGAACACCAACGGAAAACCGCTCCCTTCCAATCATTCACACATTGCACAGATTCTTATTGAAATTATTGAAGTGATAATGATCTAGAACGCATGGAAACGTAGAAAGTTCAAAGTTTCAGACATGTACCAAAACTTCTGAACGCAAGAAATGCCAGTGCATGTCGGGCCTGTTTCCCCTCAAAAAACAAAAAAGTTAAAAGGGACCCACTGAATTATATTATCCCATTACATTAAAGGGATCCATCATTTTCGTACAATACTTCAAGAATCCTAAAGAAATCAAACCTTACACAATGTCAAATATAATAGCAGAGTAGTATAATTTAGGCTAAAGGGTCAAATAGGCCCCCTGTACCCGCCCAGAATGCTCAATTCGTCCCATGAACTCTTATAAGCTTCAATTCACCACCCTAAACTAGACAAAAAATTCAAATTTCATTTTTTGCGGGTAAAAGTCTGATCACCGTCACCGTCATGTCACCCAATCAGATGCCAACCGTGCATCCCATGTGTCAATTTAAGGGGTCAAATAGGTCCCAGAACCCGACAGAGTTGTTCAATTTGCCCCTTTAACTGTTAAAAAGTGTAAGGATTTTGAAAAAATAAAATACTCCCTCCGGTTTTTATTAAACTTCACTCTTTGACTTCACACAAAATAAGGAAAAAAATTTGACTTTACTGTAGAGTACACTGTTGAGGCACTGTTTGACACGGTTTAGCACTGTCGAGACACTGTTTGGCACTGTTGAGACACTGTTTGGCACTATTTCGCACTGTTTTGATGTAGATTTCTTTGCCAAAAAAGGAAATAAGGAAGTGTGAGGTTTATTTTAGACCGTCCCAAAAAGGAAAGTCTGAAGTTTATTAAAAACCGGAGGGAGTAAGAAAATAGAAAACACAAATAGATACAAGTCAAAAGTATAAAATAGAGAAAAGGGGCAAATAAGTCCTCGAACTCTTCGCAATTCTGCAATCAGGCCCCTGAACTTGAAGAATTCCAGATACGCCACTCAACTCATTGAAAATGATGCAATTTATCTGATGCAATCATCTTCTTACCCCCCCCCCCCCCCCCCACTAACAGGTAAAAAAGGATCTGATTGCATCATTCTCAATGAATTGAGGGGTGTATCTGCAATTTTTCAAGTTCAGGGGCCTGATTGCAGAATTGCAAATGGTTGGGGGGCTTATTTGCCTTTTTTCTCTATAAAATATAGACATCAATTAAATAATATAATAACGATATATTTTTGCGGTAAATTTATAAAAATAAAATACAAAAATTCATTAAAATTATTTTGATATTTTAATTTTTTTAAAATAAACAATACATGTTTTT